TTGGGATTAAGATAGCCCAGTCAACGTGCCAGGTGTTGCCATCTCTGAAAGAAAATATGCTCTTGATATCTAAGAAGAGGCATGTCTTTTGATTGTAAATCAATAGCTACTCCTATGGATCCTAATATAAAGCTTCTTCCTAATTAGTGGAATCCTATACTGATCCAGAGAGATATGAAGGCCTTGTTGGAAAACTGAATTAACTCACAATAATCAGACGAGCGAAAGGGTTATCTAGAAAAGGACTTGTTTTCATTAACAGAGGCAACATTAATATCATTGGGTGTTTAGATGCCAATTGAGCGTGAGATATAAGTGATGGAAGATCTACTTCTGTTATTGTGTTTTAATGAATTTTGAAAAAAGCAAAACGTTGTTTCCCGATTAAGTATGGAGGCTAAATATCGAGCTATTGCTCATGCAACATGCGAACTTTTGTGGCTGAAACAGTTACTATAGAAATTACATTAGCTAGTTTTCAAGGAGCTTGTGGTGTGTGATTAGTCAATTTTGCGTCTCTCCTCCAATCCAGTCTCTCATGAGAGAACAAAACATATAAAAGTTGACTACTATTTCCTTAGAGAAAAGATACCCTCTAGAAATTTACAAGAGATAAAAGGGAAACTAAATCAAGGAAATCAAGAAAAAAATACAAAAAATATAACAATAAAGAAGGTAACAATATCCCATAATTATAGAAACTATATTCCATAATTATAGGGATTCTTCCTAATCTATAATCTGTACACTTCGACACTCCCCCTCAAGCTGAGGAATAGATGTCTTCCATTCCCAGCTTGGAAATAAGATCATGAAAACTCGAACTGTTTAGGCCTTTGGTTAGAACGTCAGCTAGTTGACTCTTTGAGGGCACAAAGCACATGCACACTAATCCTCCTTCTAGTTTCCTATTTAATGAAAACCGATCTATTTCAATATGCTTTGTCCTGTCATGTTGAACAGGATTATAAGCAATATTGATGGCAGACTTGTTGTCGCAATAGAGTTTCATAGGACCTTCCCATTTGATCTATAAATCATTCATAATAATCTTCAACCATAATACCTCACATAATCCGTGAGCAATGGCCCTAAACTTTGATTCTACAGATGACCTTGCCACCACAATATGATTCTTGCTTCTCCATGTCACCAGATTACCTCCAAGGAAAATGCAATATCCTGAGGTATCTTTAACCCAATTTAGAAACAGCATAATCAACATCGGTGTAGGCTTCGAGAGTAAGAGTTTCATTCTTCTTAAACAGGATGCTCTTCCCATGGATTACCTTTCAATTAATGCAATACCGTGTATGTTGCTTGAAGATGAGGTTCTCTTAGATCGTGCATGAACTGATTAATTACACCCACCGAGTAGGCTATCTTTGGCCTGAGTGTGAGCAAGATATATCAGTCTGCCAACCAGCCCCGTACATTCTTTTGTCAACTGTCGGTGCTTCTTTAGCTTCACCCAACTTTTGGTTCTGGTCAATTGGTATAGATACCGGCTTACACCCACTCTTTCCTGTTTCTACCAATAAATCGGTCACATACTTTTGTTGAAATATGAAGATCCCTTGCTTGGAGTATGCCACCTCAATTCCTAGGAAGTATTTAAGTCCTCCTAATTCTTTTATCTTGAATTCTTTCATCAACCTTTTCTTTAATTCCATATTTTCCCTCTCATCATTTCGTGTAACTATGATGTCATCCACATAGACGAGGAAAGCAATTTATCCCCCTTGTCGACAAGGACTTAATGAAGAGAGTGTGATTCCCTTGACTTTGTTTATACCTAGACTCCTTCATTACTTCTGCAAATCTCCCAAACCATGCCCTGGGAGATTGTTTCAATCCGTAGAGTGTTTTTCTTCGCTTGCACACCTTATTACCCGTGTCAGCACTGAAACCTAGGGGAATACTCATGTATATTTCTTCATTTAAATCACCATGCAGAAAGGCATTCTTTTCATCATACTGCAAAAGTTTCCAGCCTAGGTTAGCAGCTAATGATAATAGAATTCTTACGGTGTTCATCTTTGCAACAGGAGCGAATGTCTCTAGTAGTCAACCCCGTAAGTTTGCGTGTATCCTTTGGCCACTAACCTTGCCTAATATCTCTCAAGGAATCCATCAGCATTGTATTTCTTTGTAAAGATCCATTGACAATCTCCAATGTTTTTTCCTTTCAGCTTATCAACAATCTCCAATGTTTTTTCCTTTCAGCTTATCAACAATCTCCCATGTTTCATTCTTTTCTAATGCACTCATTTCCTCCTTCATAGCATCCCTCCATTCCCTTTTTGATAATGCCTTAGAGACATTGGTATGGATAGAACTGGTATTTAGACTCATAATGAACTTTTTATGGGTTGGGGATAGGCGTTCAAGAGAGATATAGTGAGATAATGGATACAATGGTCGTTTAGAGCATTCTCTAGTCCCTTTTCTCTTGGCAATGGGTAAATCATCTTCAGTATCGGCGAAAGCATGTTGTGTGTGTAAAGGTGGATCAGATCTTACCCTGTTCTCGTTCCGTGTTCTCGTTCCTAGGGCCTAAGTCGTAGTTTTGGTCTTTTGGACTTGCGTTGGCGTAGGAACGACCTTTCTTCTTGTATACACTTGACGAGGTTTTGAAGAATTGTTGAAGACACCGACCCTAATAGGGTTTGAATCAGGTTCATTTGGCTCATTGGATGGTTCAGGTTCATTTAAAGGGGTGGATGACTCAGATGCGACTTGCTCCTCTACGGAATCTTATTGGAGTCAACACTACCAGTTGGGAGGTCAAGTTTTTTGAGTGGTTCAAAAGATTCCCAAGGACTATCTTCCATCATTGAATTCTCTCCCTAAAGAGAGGACCCGCAGAAAAAATGTTTGTTTTATGTGAAAGTGACATCAACAGAGATGTAGAATTTATGGGATGAGGGATCGTGTAGAATTTGTACCTTTTTGAGTGGATGAGTAACCAAGGAAGACACACTTAATGGCTCGAGGGTCTAGCTTGCTTCCGTGTTGGTTGTGGATGTGAACAAAGACAGTGCACCCAAAAACCTTAGGTGTAACACCATTTGATGTTCTGAAGTGAGGGTAGAAGTCATTAAGAAGTTCCATGGGGGTTTTATTTCCCAATGTATGTGAAGGAACCCTGTTTATCATGTGTGTGGAAGTAAGGAGAGCTTCCCCCCAATAGGATTTAGGAACATTTCCATGGAAAAGCAATGCTCGGGTAGTGTTAAGTAAATGACCATTTTTCCTTTCACCTAACCCATTTTGTTGGGGTGTGTTAACACATGAAGAATCATGGATAATGCCTTGTCATTGAAAGTTGGGTGATAAAATCTGGTTGAAATAGTCCTTGGCATCGTCGGTCCTAAAACTCTTTATTTTGACCCCAAACTGGGTCAAGTATTCATTCACTCCGGAATGTCTTTAGGGAAGAGATAATTTGTCAAGGCTTTTGGATGATGTTATCTTGTCTAGATATGGAGAACATATGCAACTCAGAAAAGTGATCATGGAGTTACGTTTTCCCCACTTAGTGGATCCTTGGTTTTTACGTTTGTACCGACCACGAAATTTTTAGGAATAAGAATTCCTGATACAATTCAAGCTGAGATGATTGTGATTGACGGTATTAGAAGCCTGTTAACAGTTCCCAAATATATTGAAGAAGCACGACAGAAATTAAAAGTGGAACTTGTTTTGAAAGGAAATGGGCACTTTTTGGCTGATCAATCTGAGGTTAGGAAGTCCGAATGGTGGAGCGAAAATAATGGTGGCAGGTTTTTTGGAATGAAAGACACAAGTTTCTTAAGGTGTGACTTGAAGCCCCAATGGAAGGGTCTAATTTTTCTTGAAGCTAATTAGGAAGATTATGCTAGAGGGCCTCAACAGTCCAATGTCTTCTTTCGGAATCTGGCATTAGAAGGAAAAGATAGCTTGTTGGCTACATATCAAGTTGGGAGGGATTTCACACATTGGTGCAAAGATGAAGCTGACAGATTCCTTGCAATAAAAGCTACAAGTCTCCAATTTTCAGTGGCAGAAGTGTATAAGTTCCTTTTCTTTTTCTTTCCACCTTGAGGACAAGATGAAAGTTGGGGGGCGGGTATTGTTATACCCTGGGTCAACAGGTCTATTAGTTAGGTCAATAAGTCATTAGAAGGGTAGTATAAATAGGGGAGGGGATTAGTGAGGAAGTATTCTGTTTGTCAATTCTATTGAGCGGAAACCGTTTTGGGAGAGACCAGGTCTCTCGAAAGCCTGTGAAGAATGTAATCTTTCAGCAAATGCAAGTAACTCGTTGGATTCAGCGTGAATGTACAACAGTCTTTTTGGTGATACTTCCTTTCTATTCGGAATCTCACCCTGTTTTTCTTCTTAGCCTTAAACACCAATGAGTGCCCTCATCTATCCATTTTGTGGTACCCTAATGTTTCTCCCAATGCCCCTGGTTAGTGTTTACTTAGTCTCTCTCTTCAAGTACACTGGCACAGAAAGAAGCAACAGGATATAGGCCCTGAAAAGACAACGCCTGCCTTGATATGTGAGGAGAACCATGATCTTGATTCCTTAATGATGCCTTTTATATCTCTTACTATTTCTCAAAAAAAAATGACGCATATATGTGTTGGTAAGCCAATTGATCACTTGGTATTTCATTTCTATCAATGTGCCTACACTCGCCTATTCTCCGGTCATTATGCCTTTGTATTGGCTATGATAGTCACGGCTCTAGCTCATTTTGGATGGAGAAACTAAGAAGAGGAAATGTCTACCATAAAGGAAACATTTTAATGATATTTCAAAAACCGAAACAGTGCAATTTTTAAAGGACAAGGAACACGATCAATTTTCATGGTATATGTTGCAGATTTAATGGAAATCGTAGAAAGCAGATTATTGCACGTTCAGTAGAGATGGGGAAAAACAATTGTATTACACAGGAAAACAAATCTTCACTGAATGAGCTCATTAAATTAGTTAAATATTCAAACCTGAATATGATCAAGCACCGATCTCGCAGAATTAAGAGAAATCCCACGCTCAGCAGATGGCCCTCCACAGATTAACCCAACTCTCAAAACCCTCCCGTTCTCTCTCTTCTTCTCACGCCCTCCCTCCACTTTTGGATCATCAACGGCTACCACTAATTCACTGCACGAACGCACAACTCCAACTCCACGAAACCCATTCCGTCTCAAATTCTTCCTACTCACAGCTACACTCACAGGCAAAAGAACATCGGAAGACTCTGTTCTGGGGAAGATGAAAGAATCAAACCGCGGTTTGCTTGAGAGAGTAGAAGAAGTAGCCATTTGGAGTGACATAAATTAATGTGATTGAGGAATGAGAAAGAAAGACGGTGGTGGCGTATTTAAATGGTTATTACGGTGTTGGCCGGCCGGAGGAAAAGGAAGAATCCATTTCAGAGAAGAACGAAGTGGTTGGTGTCGTCATTTGGCGCGTCGTTTCTGTTCATGATTTTGTTTTTAATCACTTGTCTCCCAATAAAATACAAAACTTAAATCTATATATATATACTAGTTGTGTACCTGCGCAATGCGGCGGGAGCCATGAATTTTAACAATTTTGAAGTTCCACTAATTTTATAAGATAAGAATTAACGACGATATATGTTACACTTGGGTTTTACATATTAATACAATTTGAATAAATAAGAGTTATGGTTCCAATTACAGACTATCGATGAAAAAAATTGTATGACAGTTTAAAATCCAATATATTTAAAATCCAACATATTTAAATGAATCCACAAATGTGTTCGATTTACACCAAAAGCAAAGAACCAAGAAACTTGAGTTTTAAGATAAACACTCAAAACCAATAAAGAAAACTATAAATTTGACAGATCATAAGCCATGAAAAGACAAAAAAAAGATGGGTTTTAGAATGAAATTTCAACTGTTTACCCTCTTTCTTGTCCAGAAACTCAGATTAAGGTTGAATTAATACATGTATATATATAT